GGTCCTCAGGTAAAGGTCAGTCGTGGTGGCGATGCTGTCTGGGGTGGTATTGTGAGCTGATTACCCACTGCATCTAAGAACAGAAGTACAGCTTTGTGCTCCAGGCCTACAAGGAAGCACGTTGACTAGATGGCCTCTGACTTACTTTGCTCCTGTGATTCTAAGTTAAATGATTGATCAATAATGAATTAACCAATTAATCATAGTCCTCTCTCTTCCCCTCTATAAGCTAATTATTTACTTAACTATGGCCTTATGCCATGACTAGCGATATTAAGATATACAGCAGTAAATGAGCTCAGATTCAGTGGCTCGGAATGAAAACTTCATGAAATCTCGACAGTTGGGTTTGCATTCAAAGTTTTCTTTGTAGATCAATTATCAGATATTTCAAACACACTTAGCGAAACAATCTTAAATGCTGATTGCTTTCCCAAGCTAGAGCATAAAAGCCCATTGTTACTCATTGGAGTGAAATATTGTATTATCAGTGATGAGCGAAATATAGAGGAGGAGGCCAGGAATAGAGCTCAGCTGCACAAGCAGTGCCTGTCAAGCACAGGGTACTGAGTTCAATTCCTGGTGCCTGAAAAATAAAGTAAAATAAAAATGAAAGCACAGTTCTGTTGTGAAATAAGCAATACACGGACTATCAAGCAGTAAAACCAAATGATGGCTCATCACTTGTCTGACCTCTGAGGCTGAGGTGTGAAAGCATGTACATGTAACCTGGAATTGGAAAGGCAGATGGAAACTGGTGAGCACATTATTAGGTGCATGCAAGAGGTTTACAGACTGGGTGCAAAGCATGCGCATTTCTTGCTCTTGAGACAGAGACATTACTGCTAGGTAAAGTTGACCAAATGATGGGATTGGTTTTTGTCACCCAAACGCATGAAAATACAGGGTGACGGGAGACAGGGGTAGACTCAATTCTCTGGCAAAGTCATTGGTCAGGACATGGGAGAATAAAAGCAATTGAAAGTGGGAAAGGGTTGAGTGTGTGCATGCGTGTGAATGCACACGTGTATTGGGGCCTGGTCTGTATTTAACTGAGCCCAGGACTGTAAAGGAAACAGAGGAGAACTAATGTCATGGATTCCCCCTGCAGGGCAGGCATGGTGGGTTACGTGGAAAAGCTTTGGAATTAGGTTTGGAGCTCACATTTCAAAATACCTAGTGGACCGTTGATTGCCTCTGTGGCTTTGGAAAATCGGTTAGTTCTATGAACCTTTCCCGTCTGTAGAAGTGTGAGTAATGAACGCATCTGCCCTTCAAGATGGTTGTGAGTAGAGTGAGGCTGGTGGGTAGGAAGTCTCCGCAAACTGTGGTTACGTAGCTCCACGTGGTGAGCTGTTTCAACCATCTGCCTGTGCTGCCTGACCTCACCATTTACAGGCCAACTGGTCTGGTTCTTCAGTGATCTGCAGTGGGCATGTTTCTTGCCCACAGGGCAATGGGTGCCCTGGAAGGTACTTTTCCTGCCACTGCCTTTAGGGGGTAGCAGGAAGTGGCACGCAGCTGGCAGTTGCACGGGGAAGACATCCCTTTGGCATGGTACTTCTAACACAGGCAATGCTGTTATTCGAAGGGCATTATGTATTTTCCCTTACAGAAGGCACCGCTTGTCCCAATAAACATCGGGTGGCTTTGGAGACAGAACCATGTATTCACATTGTTTCCTTTGTCTCAAGCATTGCCTGTCTCTTGCACTACTGCCACGATTTTGATATTAATCTACATTTCCTGCATTTTCATGAAGACTAAATGGAGCACTGTTTGGGAGTAAATGCTTATAAATAATGATATCAATTTCAAGTAGAGAAAGATGTCCAGGGTAGAATGTTAGAAATAGTGAATGGAAGATATCAGCTGAACTCCAAGTTCTAGATCCCATAAAGAGCTCTTTTAGGAATGTTTTTGTCTATGATTCATTGATAAATAGCTAAGCATTTTCCCCCCATTGGAAATGAACGATGTTTCAAAGCATAACATAGAAGAATATATTGGCAATTAATTAAGAAATCTGGGCTCTTTCTACAGGCAATATTTCAAAAGTAGATTTAAAATTTTGGTGCATGAGACTGATATGTGCTTAGATAATGACTAACAGAAATCTATGCTTTGTGATCTGTTAAACCTAAAAACTAGGTGATCGAGCAATCAGAAGATGTCGTGGGACCAAATTTGAGTTTAAAAGTCAATATTTCATCACTCGTACTAAAAATCACTAAGCCCTCAGTGGACTGCGTTCATGCTAAACAAAATTCAGGTAGTTTCATCATGAGCCGGCCTGAAGGATTCGGGGTAGGATTATTTGGAAGGAGTTCAGCACATTGGTAGTACAGGTGCTAGAATGCCACCAGTAAAGAGCAGCGTTCTAGGGGGTTGATCACAGGTAGCAAAATCAACCCAGCTTGTGTTTTTCTCAATTTGGAGAAATTGATTGAACAGGTAATATGTTGAACGCTGTGCCAGGTCTGTTATTGAATGCAGTATAATTCGGCAGTATGCTCTCTCCTCTTTGGAGAGGCATGCTCCTTGAGGTAACTGTGAAAGGATTAATCGTACAGAGGCCTGGACCTACAGCATGGTGACAGAACATTTGCTGAGCATGCATGAGGCTCTGGGCTCTGTCGCCCTCTCTACGAATTAGACTAAGTCTGATGCACCCTGAGCGATTCCTGCAGCTCCTTGGAAGGGTACTCTGCCAAACAGCGAGTGTGGCTTGCCATTCCAGCTGCAGCTGACTAGCTGTGGGACTTTTTTTCTTTCAGAGGTGGCCCTCCCATTTACACATGGGGTGTAGCTACATCTGTCTCAGGAAACGCAGGCATCAGATGAGACGGAGCACGTTTTCTCTTCCTGTGGTGCTGGAACCCAGAGCCTTGCACCTGCTAGGCAAATGCTCTACCCCTGAGAGACACCCCCTCCTGGAGACAGGTTTTGAATGCATCTTTTTGAGCATGAGAGAGCGTGCCCAGCAGTGGAGGGAAGCAGAGCATAAGTGCCAGCCCTTGTGTCTGGCACTGTGTGTTTTGTGAACGTGTGCATGCTGGGAACTCATTGGTCCTCCACATACTGTGTGTTAAATCTTCACCAGAAGTCCTAGGTGAGTTGGTGATTGAAAAAAAATATATGGTATGTGTAAATTTAAAAAAATATCATTGCAGACTAGGTCTGGTGATATACACCTCTAATCCCAGCATTTGGGAGGCTGAGGCAGGAGGATTGCTGTGAGTTTGAGGTCAATCAGGGCTCCGTAGTGAGTTCAAGGTCAGCCTGACCTGCACAGCAGAACCCTGCCTCAAAAACACACACACACAAAATTATTACAGTAAAAAGCACATTTCCATGTGTTCCCCACAAAATCTACCCCCTCACTTCAAACACACAGATCCCATAGTCGTTCAGCTTTCTTTTCTCTTTTCTTTCTTTCTTTCTTTTTTTTTTTTTTTTTTTTTTGGTACCAGGAATCAAACTCATGACCTCGCACTTGCCAGGCAGGTATTGTGCCACTGAGCGACATCCCTGACCCCATCCCATCCCCTTTTAGAAGCAGTTCTGAAATTCTCTTTCCTGAGTGTCCTGTGCTGTTCTGTCTGCCTTGACGTCCTGAATGGACACAAAACATTCACTTCTCAGAGTCATTTGACTTTGGAGAAGAACCAGAAATTGCACAGGCAGTCCAAATCTGGTGACGGAGGTGGAGGAGGGCGCGCGTCATGTGAAGAGGCTGCCTTTCTGTTGGACGGCACTTGGCGTCAGCGTTCAGTATATTTTTGATCACACTCTGGAAAGACGCTCATGAAAGAGGACTTCCAGAACAGTTTCAGAAAGTGGCAAGAACAAAGGGAGAAGTGTATGTGAAGTGAGGAGGAATATTTTGAAGGGTTTTGGGGGCAATGTGTCATTTACTGCTATGCATTTTTACATTTAAGCAATATTTCTTGATCACTCCTTGTATGATAGATGGTCTCTGTTTCCCAGATGAGGAAACTGAAATTGGGCAATCTTAAACGATTCTCGACCCCGTGTAGTTAGAGTCAGGATGGAAGTTAAATCTGGAGCCAGAGGCCCGGCTTCTCCTGGCACAATATGGGCTCTCTAGTGGAAGGGAATTATCATTATTCCTGAACAATAGCATGGCCAGCTGCTGAGCAAGGGCCGTGGTGCAGACTTTGCAGTCACCTGAAGTCCTCCAGGCCAGCTTCCGGAGGGGCCGGGGACAGATGCCTGATGTGCCCCACACTTTTACCTGGCCTTGCTAAGCCTCAGAAGCTGATTCTACCCTTCAAAGTTAAGTGTGGGCCAATGAGAAAGTGCAGCACCCTCAACCAGCTTGGAGCTCACAGGTGACGAAGGAGGCATCAGGGTTTGTGACCGAGTAGTTGTTTGCCACCAGTACTATTAGGTGCACTCTTCTGTCCATCTTGTTTTTAGTGGCCTGCATTGCCTGATAGTGACTTGCATAGGAATTCAGTTTTGTAGTCGCCCCTGGTTTATAAGGAGCAATAAGAAACAACCCAGAGAGTGCAGTGTTTTAGACCTGCTGTCTCTTCACTGAGAGACATGGTAAGGATCCTGGTGCTGGAGGACCTGAACTTGTATCACTTTCTCCCTGGCTCCCTTTCGAGGAATATCAGAGGAGCCTTAAATGCAAAGGTTTATATGAGACACAGAGGGAAATAGATTTTCAGAGTTCAGATTCATTTGTAAAGTTCTGTTACAGTGGAGTCCCTGGCAGGTCAGGTCAGTGGGGAGGAAAAAGTCCCAGAGTCCCAGGAACACCTCACCTCCAGCCCAGGGCAGAGCTCGGTTTCCGGGGACACACTGGTCCCTGGCAGGTGGCAGGGCACACCGCCCACATCTTCTCGAGCTGACCTGTGACAGGGAGGCTGCCGGCTTGAACCGTGTGAAGTTGTTGGAGGTGGCTCTGTTCTCAGGCACTTGGCTGAAATGTGATGCCATTGGTTCTCAGTCAAGGTTCCTTTCTGCAGGGCTGCGAACACAGATCAGCTGCTACCGGGTGTCCACAACCAGGGAGCTGATCCCCAGCACGCTGTGAGCTGCCTTTTTAACCCTGAGACTTTTCAAAGCTGTGCATGCAGGAAGTTTCCTTCCCGGGTGTCTGCCTGAGCACTGAGCTTTGGTCTTCAGATCCGAGCCCGGCTGCCTGCTGCACACTGGAGCGGCTTCCTCGAGACGTTTGTCCTTGAAACTGCACCAAACTCTTGGAAGAGCCCAGAACGCGTGAGTATGGGTGATCCAGGCAGCATAGTCCAGGGGAGCTGGAACCGACCATATACCAGGTCCAATTAGCAGGGCAGGAGGGGGTTTTCCGACGTTGTGTTACCTTCATTTTCAATTCGTTCCGAGGAAACAAATCAATTCGAGCTTCTGATACAGTGACTTTGCAGTAGATGGGCTTGGAATATGTTAGCTTTAACTGTTTGCTGTTCTCATTTAGCATGCAGACATGGCTCGTGGGACGATGATTGAGGGCATTAGAGTCTAAAACTTCTCAATTTTTATTAGGAATTATAATTGTTGGTCAGGTCCATTTTGAGAAGCAAGTTAGCTTTGGGGAATGTTTTGAAAGAATTAACTACGGCAATTCACAGAGGCTGGAATGAGTCGGTCCCATTCTTGTTCTTCATGCAACATATTAGTTTGCAGTTTTAATTTACTCATAAAGAGCATTCCTCTGAGGTTTGGTCTTAATTGAATCCTGTTCAGTGCTGTCTGTCTGCTGTGTTAGTGGCTTGTACGTATCTGGTTTAAGTTACTCGCCGGGCTTGCAGTGTGGTTAAGCCGTGTTGGGGGTTATTTAGATTCTGAGAACATTCAGGTGAAGGGAATGCCCCCAGAATTTGGGGGGTGAAAGGCTCGGTGGTGGGGTCACCCTTGAAAGCTTTTCAGAGGTGCAACCCGAAGGGCTGTCAGATGGAGACCACTCTCAGAGGCCGGGAGTCAATCTCAGCCTGTTCACTTTGGTAACTTCCACCAGTAAAAGCCCCGTGCCCCTGCCTATCAATTTTTAATATGCAACAATACTTACGCTTCCAAGATTAATTTCTCTCAGATTAGGCTGATTGATAGCTGGATGGCGGTTTCTGAAGAGCTCGCTCCCTGAAACCCACAGCCGAGCTGCATTCCATTTAACTAGTGAATGTAAAAACGGGTAACCATGGATTCAGCCTCCGCTAACTGCCAGGGCAATGACTTGTTGTAAACAATACAAATGAGCCGGGAGAGCAGAGTCAACCAGACATGAAATGATTTTAATAGAAATTACGGTAAAAGGTCATGTGATGTGGTATCCGCTCCTGTGCAGTTTTAAAGGGAAAGTCTTTCTTTTCTGCCCCCCTCCTCCCTACTGCTAAGCAGCCCAAGTGGGTATCTCCCCAAAGTTGGCAGGTGCTGCTCGAGACTTCCCGGAGGAGGGGGGCCGCCGTGGTTCTGGCCCGGTGCGGTGACTCGTAGCTGTTCACCGGTAAGTCCCTTTCTTCGACAAACAGAGAGGAAGGCTGTGCGTTTCAGGGCTGGCTTTGTGGAAGGTCATGCTAATTACACCGCAGAAGTTCTCAACTCCAGACAGAGGAGGATCATAGGGCATTTGCTGCTTTACTTGTAAATGGTACGGCTGCCTGTGCTCCCTGCCTGCGTCTCCAGATTAATGTGTAACCTTGGTCTTTCTGAAAATTGTTACTTGCTTCAGAAACAACTTTTGCAATATGGGATAGGCACGGGTAGAGGCTGTGGGAAGTACTGGGCCTGATCTCAGGGTTTCACCCACTCGGGCCTTTTTCAAGTTCTGCAAGGACCAGGTCTTACAACAGATAATATTTTCACTGCTCTGGGAGGGATGCTGTCTGTATATGAACGTGATTGTATTCATCAGTTTGCTCCCAACCAAAAAGCACCAGCCAGAACCTCATGGTTTGATTCCTGTGCTGTTTTCAGCTATGTTTATTAAAATGAAATGCAAAAGGAAAGTCTGGTTGCCAAAGCTGTGGTCTTGGACAGCACCTAGAAGCACAGCTGTGTGAGTCCAGATGTGGAGGGTAGCTTCCCCAGTGCACAGCTGGCGGGAGTGGACCCTTTTGGTCACTGTCTCAAGCTGGCTCTGGAAGCAGGGAACTCTGGCTAGGCCTATGTATCTGACGGCTCAGCAGACCTGGGTTTTCATGCTGCAGTTCTTCCCACAGGCAGATGGGAAGGTATCAGCCTCGTCTTGGCCAAAAAGATAATGATGTGTTTAATTTTACTTCCTTTTAACATAGAGATTTGCCTGAATAGAGAGCACAGTGCACAGGTAGAGACGTCATACTGCATGAAAGACTGGCAGGTGTGTGTTTTTGTGTTAGGACTTCCTCTGTGATAGAGCCATGGAAAAACATTAAGGAACTCAATAGGATGCAAAAACATCAAAGCCTTTAAATGCACTCAAGATTTTATCGAGCAAACCCTTTGTTTAGACTTGTGTCAGGCATTAGCATAGAACTCATATTTATACGGTTTTTAAAAAATACATCTTTTTGAGCGTGAGGGGGTGTGATTCAGTAAAGCACTTGCCTAGAATTCATGAGACCTTGGATTTGATCCCAGACTCTGCCAAAACAAAACAGAACCTACCAGAACTGGACCCAACAGAATAGAACTTCTTTAAGGTGTCAGGGGACTGAAAAGTTCCTCAGGATGGCAAGGTGAAGCCTATGGTCTCATCATCTCTTTGCTATTCTAATACCAGCTATGTTCCTGAAAAAGAAATGAAACTCTAGAGATTAATGTTGGACAGTAAAGGAGCAATTACAAGCACATGGGAGCGAGCACCAGGCCCTAGAAGCTAAACTATAATACAGATGCAGTTTTAAATGTTTCTTTGCCTTGATTCTCCAAGCAAGTGTCAGCCACAGGGTGGTAAAGGGCACAGTCTTTGCAGTCAGACATGTGTTGCAGTCTTTGCTTTTCACTGAGCTGTGAGATTTTAGGCAGGCTGCGTATGGTGGTACTCACTTGTTACCCAGAGCTCTGGGAAGCTGAGGCAGGAGGATCATAGTTTCAAGTCCAGCCTGGGAAACTTAGCAACTTAGCAATTTAGGGAGACCTTCATCTCAAAATTAAAAAAAAAAAAAAAACAAAAAAAAAACAAAAAAAAAACTGGTGATGTAGCTCAATGGTAGAGCAGCCCCAGGGTTCAATTTTAGGCCAGGTGGTGCCCTGTCTCAGATCCCCACCCTCCTTGTAGACAGAGGTAAAACCTGCCACCAGGAGGGAGGGCACGACGTATGCTAATGTATAGAAATACTTAGCACACACCTGGCACAGTATGTGCTCACTACAGTGCTGCTAGTTCCATGACTCATTTGGACTGAAGCAAGACTGAACCCAAAGAGCAAGGTTCCCGCCCTCATTTAGACCCCACTGCTGTGCACCCCAACGACAAGTTGGCTTGACAGATGCTGGTCCGGTTTACAGCAGAGCATGGTGTTTTATAGAACATTTGCATTTTGTTAAAGGCCCAAAGCAATACTTTATTTTCTATATATATTATTTATTCAAATTATGTAAGAGAACTAATTTTAAAAATTTTACCCCTTTGCACTTAGATTTCTGACTCTGTGGGGTCGCGGATATTTGCACTCTGTCTGCATGATCTTGTTCCTAGGGTTGCGGGCACAATGGTACTCAAAGGTGCAAGATAAACTCCTGACTATGCTAATTGCAAAGGCATCAAGCTTCGTGGCCTCTAGTTAACCGCAGAGATCATCACGCTGAAGAGCAGAGGTCACAGTGAGTTAGGGTGGGTGGTGGCACCGGGAGAGCTCCCTTGGGATGCTGTCCCCACGTTCTCTGCCTGCTGACCCCCTTGACCTCAAACCTACAGGTCTCATTCAGTCAGCCTTCACTCTTTCCCTGCCTCCCTCCCTTTCTCTCTCTCTTCTCTGGCTGTGTTGCATTTTCTTTGTCTTTGTGAATCAGAGGGCTCAGGGAAGGGAAAGAGAGGGACTGGAGACCCACAGTCTTTTGATGCCAGCTCTGGGTTTATAAATGGAAACGTTTAAGAAAAGTCACCAAAAAAAAAAAAAATCCGTTTTTCTTTCTGCTGCTATTGAACTGAGAGCTACATCTGAGGTGGCCCCAGGCCCCAGGGAAGCCTTGCCCAGGAACTATTTGTTGATTCATTGATTAGGCGGCATGGAGGGAAGGGGCATCCAGTGCGGAGATTCCCTCAGTAGTGGAAGCTTTGAACGCTGGGCTGCCGTGTGCGGTGCATGGCTTCGCGGTGACCTTCCAGCCACTAATCTCCTCTAAGAACTGAATCAAAGCAGTTCAGGGATTTTGTCAGATGGGTTCTGTCTACAGTTGGGCTTCTGGCAGTTGCCGGAGAAGGTAATACATTCTTCGCAAGGATGTGAATTTCCCCTTTCTTTCTTTCTTGAAAGGAATGAAGAGAAGGTGCCAGCGGAGATCTCTAGAGAGGGACCCTGTTTATCCACGGTGCTGTGCAGGCAGGGACAGCTGTGAGGGGGAGCGGTTCTCACACTCACCCGTCAGCCCCTCCAGCGCTCTCTTCCCAGGGCGGGAAGGAAGCCTGTGCGTGGAGCTCGTGCCACCCGAATGACAGTGCTGCCCATCGCCTGTCTGGGTGGCGATGGTAGAGTGTGAAAGGCTACGCTGGCTACTCCTTGTCACAATAGGTGAATGAGTTATCCAGAGTCACACCCGCTTGGGACTTGTAAAGTCAGGACTAGAGTTTGGCATGTCTCATTCCCAAGCTAGCACTTTTTTGAGAGCGCCTGGGTTCCAGTGGAATAGACTATAAAACAAAGAGCTTACTTGTATATCATAGAAGGAAGAAAAAATTCCACTTTACCAACTAAGGCTGAGGCAGAAGGATTCCTGGGAGTTCAAGGCCAGCCTGAGCTATGTAGTGAGACCCTGTCTTAAAAAGCCAAACAGAACAAAGAATCCGATTTAGGACACAGTGAGACAATCCCAGAAGGATTGGCAGGATTGTGTAGGTCTGGTATAAATCCTAGAGTATAACAGCGCTGTGAAACCATTCTGGGCTATGGGGTTTTTGGTCATAAAATTGGACAAAAGGATCTATAAAACCTACATTTCAGGTGTGCTGTGTGAATTAAAGAAGATTACGTATGCAAAGGGTCCTGTCCAGTGCATGACCCAAAATGCACAGTAAACACCATCGTCAAGCCTTTTCCTTTTGTAAGATTGGTGGAGGAGTT